AAAAGTTTTGCAAATGAAACCGACAAAGGCTTGATCTCCAGAATATATAGGCAGCTCATACGACTTAACAAGAAAGAAACAAACCCTATCCAAAGATGGGCAGAAGACCTAAACAAGCAGTTCTCCAAGGAAGAAATACAAATGATCAATAGGCACATGAAAAAATGCTCAATATCACTAATTATCAGAGAAATGCAAATCAAAACTACAATGAGGTATCACCTCACACCAGTCAGACTGGCCGTCATTCAAAAGTCCACAAATAACAAATACTGGAGGGGCTGTGGAGAAAAGGGAACCCTCCTACACTGCTGGTGGGAATGCAGTTTGGTGCAGCCACTGTGGAAAACAGTGTGGAGATTCCTCAAAAGACTAGGAATAGACTTCCCATATGACCCAGGAATCCTGCTCCTGGGCATATATCCAGAAGGAACCCTACTTCAGGATGACACCTGCACCCCAATGTCCATAGCAGCACTACTTACAATAGCAAAGACATGGAAACAGCCTAAATGTCCATCAACAGATGACTGGGTAAAGATGATATGGTATAGTTATACAATGGAATATTATTCAGCCATAAAAACTGACATAACGCCATTTGCAGCAACATGGATGCTCCTGGAGAATGTCATTCTAAGTGAAGTAAGCCAGAAAGGGAAAGAAAAATACCATATGAGATCACTCATATGTGGAATCTAAAAAACCCCACAAAACATAAATACAAAACAGAAACAGACTCATAGACACAGAATACAAACTTGTGGTTGCCAAGGGGGAAGAAGGTGGGAAGACAGACTGGGATTTCAAAATGCAGAATAGATAAACAAGATTATACTGTATAGCACAGGGAAACATATACAAGATCTTGTGGTGGCTCACAGCGAAAAAAAATGTTACAATGAATATATGTATGTTCATGTATACCTGAAAAATTGTGCTCTACACTGGAATTCGACACAACATTGTAAAACGACTATTACTCAATAAAAAAATGTTAAAAAAATAAATAAAATAATGAAAAAAGACTGAGTCCAGCTAAAGGGAAAAGGGATATTTTTTAACTATTAAAGCCAACAGCTACCCAATAACTGAGCAGGTTGTACTGATGTGAAAATAGGTACACAATGCAAACGAAAAAAAAAAAGCCACGGCAAAACAGCACCTAGAATATGATCCTTATCTACACATAAATAGATATAAACACACACCCACACACACACGGGCCCACAGAATAGGAAGTGGAAGATTTACACCAAATTACTAAGGGACATTAACTTTGGACTCAGAAGGCAATGACTGAGGAGTTTTTCACTTTCTACATTATATAAATCTTTCATTTTGAAGATTTACAAAAAGCTACCATGCTTCTCATGGAGAAACTGAAGATTTTTTTAAACCGGAAAATAAAAGATGATTGGAAAAAATGTTTTAAATGTTCATATAGGAAAAGCACTGAACTCCCACCCCCACCCTTCCCAAAATACACACACCGGGATCAGAGACTAATTCTGAAAAATACACAGACGAAACTGACACAACATTGTAAACCAACTCTACTTCAATTAAAAAAAAATACACAGGAAACATCTGGTAGATTTTACAATATTATCAGCCAGGTCAGGAGGATAAGGAATAATTTCCTGCGCCTTCTTTCATTTCTTAAGTTTCTGTGAAGTGGTTATATTGCTTAAAAAACAAAAACAATAGCAATAACAAAACGCTTATTTTTATTTCACCAAATTTCTGGAATAAAGAAGCCAGGGCTGCTGGGTATAAAGAGTGGGATCACATCCAGCCCTAAGAAGGCAGACACAGCGCACACCTGACGGGAGGAACCACACAACCTGATGCTTCAGGTAAGGGCAGGCCCAGGTCCCAGAAGCACGCTTCCTGGCACGCCGTCCAGCAGGCACCTAATGCAGGCGCTGAGGCTGGAGACGGGATGTTATGGGATCACAACGTCGTGTTACCCAAGACCACCCAGGAACAAGGCGAAATGCTGGGAGGGCAGAGGGGACTCAAAAACATACAAGTGTGGTCAGAGAGGTGGGAGGAAAACTGAGCAAGCCAAGGATGAGTGCATTAAAGTAACTTGTTCTCAAGAAGTAAGCCCTGAAGATGTACATCAAAGATGCTTAAAATACTGAAAAATTAGAACAGAACCTCCATCAAAAGAGAGATAAGTAAAAGCATTGATAAATTAAAACAAATGAAGCAGATCTATATGCACTGTCATAAAAAATGGGGGCTCTAAGACACACTGATAAGACACACAGAACAGACTATATAGTATGATCTATCCATAGAGGGAAAAGTTCCACAGGCTTATGCATGGAAAATATATATAGAGAAAAAGGAATCTGTTAACAGTAGTTACCTTGGGGGAGAGGGATTGGCGAGCACAGTGGACTTCTACTTTTTTCCTGTCTGCATACATTAGTTTTGTTTTTCAAAACCGGCACTATTACTTTTGTAATAGCATCATATCTTGATTTTAAGACACTTTTTTTTCATTTTAACATCTCTGAAATTAGCATGCTTGTCACATTCATTCCCAGCATTGAAAAAAAAAGGATTCAAACATCTCTCAGTGTTTCTTACTGTCAATGGGGTCTTTCGATGAAATAGATTCAATATTAAACATAAGTTTTTTTTTTAAACTTTCTTTTGGTGGAGGGAGGTAATTAGGTTGGTTTCTTTATTTTTTTGTTTAGAGGAGGTACTGGGGATTCAATCCAGGACCTCATGCATGCTAAGCATACTGCTTGAGCTATACCCTCCTACCCTATAAGTTCTTTATTTAAAAAAGAGGGTATAGCAGAGAATACTGAACAGTAACAGCATGTCTGATCAGATCAGGCCTAAAAGGACTGCCTTAACACATCCCTAGTTTTGAGAGCTGCACACTGAAGTAGGTAAGGGTGAAATGACATGTCTGGGATTTGCTTCAGAATACTTCAGAAAAGGAAAGAAACAAACAAAAGGAAATGTGGAAAAATCATGAGACTATTCAGTTTGGGTGATGGGGATATTTGGACACGCTCATATGAGAAAAGTACAGGATTCCCAAAGATGGTGAGCACCACAGGGACAGGTAGAGCGCCTGGGTAAGCCGATCTCGTTTCCTTGGCTGAGAGCCCTGCCTGGTTGAGAGCATCAGTAAAAGGAGGAAAGAGAGGTAATTCTAAGAAGAAAAGGCCGAATCCACATCCAGTGATGCCCCGTCCTTCCTCTGCCTCTCACAGAGGAGCTCCCACCAAGTCACCACACTCCCCTCTGCAAAGACGCCACCCCAGCATCCCAAGGGCCCCAGGAGGAGGCACATACCCAGGAGATGGGGCAGAGGGACTTGTACACACGCCGGTACCATTCGCACACGGAGATATCACCCCCTTTAGCAGTCATTGCCTTCTCACAGCGGTGGAAGTCTGTGAAGAAAGGGAAGCAGGTCAGCCCAGACCGAGGGCTAGAACACATTTTTGATCAAAACTCACAGAAATACTTTTAATACACAACTAATTACACACACACACACCCCTCAAGTTTCACAAAGAAAACATCCCCTTACAAGCGTAATACTAAAAAGGGCTAGACAAACCTCACTAACCTGATTTTGCAACCCCTAAAGAACTACTGTTCAATGGGAAATTCTGGGGTCAGAAACGGTAAGGCAACATGAGAGGCAGTGTGGGGATTACGGAAGTCCAGAACCAGGGCAAGGGAAGGGGAAGACGGTCTTGATGCTAAGATGCTGGGCATACACCCGAGAGAGAAAAGCATTATTCACGTGGACATCAAATTACATTTATAAGGATGTTTATAGCAGCGTCATTTGTAAGAGTCCCAAACAGCATGGACCAATCTTCAAAACTGTTAAATGCAGAAATCCAAACACAAAGGAACACATACAGTATTTATAAAGTTCACAAAGAGGCAAACCTAAAAGCGGTGATAAAACCAAAATGTAATTGCTGTAAGTCTGTGGCGTTACACCTCTGGTTGGGAGAGTAGAGTGTCGTTTTCAAGACAGGTCATAGAGTAGGCAGGAGAGCTCAGGGTGCTGGCAGGATCTAATTTTCTTCCCAGATTATAGTTAACACGGAGGATTCACTTTAGAATTATATATTTAGTTGTATGTACTTCCTGTATGTGCATTAGATTCCATACACACACACACACATCTTGAAAAAAAAATAATTGTGGGAACCAAAGTTTGCGACTCTGGCCCAGACCTTGAATACAGCTGGTATAGAGGGGCATGGGCCTACAAGGTAGGACATCCAGGATGAAAGAGAAGAGGCCTGGGATGTATGTCCCCTAGGAGGAGGCAAAAGGTGAAAGACTTGAGGTGTGGGACCAGGGGAAGGTCAACACTGCCCCTGCCCCATGACCCGCTCACCCAGGTAGTTCTGCCAGCAGTTCCTGGTCTGGTTCTGGTTGGGGAAGCGGCTGTCAAAAGGGGCAGTCTGGTAGTTCTTGATTTTGGTCTTGATGTCTTCTGCCATAGTGCTGACTCCTGGAGGCAAAGACAGTGGCTGTTGGCAGGGGTCCTAGGGGGCCTGGGCATGGAGATGTCAGGCCACTCAGGCCCAGCAGAGGCCTGACACAGAAGAATGGGCTGGGTGTGCACAAACCACCGCCCCTTCCCTTTCAACATACTGACACAGAGGAGAAGGGGAGGGCAAATCCACTTTAAGTGTGGAAGTCACAGCAGGGTGTGTGTGTGAGGGGTCAATTCCTTGGTAATATCAGGCCTTATTTGTCCCAACATAACCCCAGCTGACATTCACTGAGTGCTTACTACAGGCCAGGCACTATTCTACACACTTCATTCCTACAGCCGCTCTAAAAGGCAAGAACTATTAGTAACAGTTTCACAGACAAGAGACAGGGTGTTTAAGTGACTTCCCAAGGTCATAGAGCACACATGTGGTGGAGCTGCACTTGATTACTGACATAACTACACTGCAGAGGTTCCTAATCTCTTTTGGTGCCAAAAACTCCTCAGGGGTCTAACGAACCCTTTCTCAGAACATGTTTAGGTGCATTTAAAAACTGCATAGGATCACAAAGAAAACCAATTATAGGTAGCTGAAGATTCAGCAACCATCAAAATTTTGAAATAATCATGAGTGCAAAAGGTATTTTGTGACATCTGCAACCATAATGTGATATAAGATGACCAGCAATTTTGACTGGTGACAAAGTCACTGATGATGCAAACACTACTAGGGCTGCTGCCTCCATTCCTACTAAAGGAACTGTTACATTTCAATTAGATTAGTAAATATCCAGGTGTAAATTTTCCTCCATCAAGCACTAGTACCCCTTGAACTGTGTGATTCTGTGGACCCAGGGTTAAAAACTTCTGCTATAATCTCTCTTATGAGGTGACACGCTGTTTTTGCTAGGGAAATCTAAAAGAAACTGCCTCTATTTCAGATTATTCGACGAGTCGTGGGGTTACAAAGAGGTGAGCAGACCAGTGTTAAATTCAAGCGATCCAAGGTTATGATAGGGATCAGGGGCGCCAAAGTAGAGTCTTTCGGAGAGCGGAGAGATGTGGAACACCAGCCGCTGGGACACAGATGCAATCGGCATCGTTGTTTTGCAAGCGATCTACACCCATTATCCGGGAGTGAGGGTGGATCAGGGATGACCCCGCGGCCCTTCCAACGCCTAAGGCAGAGGAGGGGCCAGACAACAGGAAGCCAGGCTGCGCCTAGGACAGCCGCCGGGAGGACACCTGCGGCCTGGTGATTGAGAACACTGCAGTCCAAACTACCGAGTCCAAATCCTAGTCGCTGGCTAAACTGCTTAACATCTGAGCCTCAACTGCCTCCTTGTCAAAACGGATAATCACTTGCCCTACCTCAGATGTAAAGGCTAGAGGGAGGATTAAATGAATTAATATTAACCGTCTGGAATATTAATGGCATTGAGGAAGAAGTATAATCATTAGCTACGATTACTAACTGTACAGGACCTCAGTGACCCGGGAGGCCGGCCACTGCCGGCCAGAAACCTCACCTCGTTCTCCGGGAAGCAAGGGTCGGGCTCCTCAGTCCCCCAGGCTGGGGTCACAGGCCCCCGAGCCCTCGAAACTCACCTAAAGACGCCCCCGCACCGGCTGGAAGCTCAATGTGACCCTCAGCAAAGACGCCAGCGCCGGACCGGAAGCGGAATTAAGACCGGCCGGAAGCGGGGCGAGGAGCGTATAAGGGAGCCTTACGTGCGGCTAGAGCGCCGGCCCCCGAAGCCTTTCAGGCCACGCCCATGCATGCGACCTCTGACCTCCTATTGGGCCGAATGCCTGTTCATCCCCACTCCCGGCCCAATCGCGAGCTTGCGAGGCACTTGGACTTGCTCCTGGCTGTGGCTGTTTCTAGCTGTGGACGCCGCTTGGTTACAGGTGCTTGTCAACTTCGTGTCTTTACCAGGAGAAAGGGGTTCTGGGTCTTGGGGCTGGCTCGAGAGTAGGCCTGGGGAAAATATCCCAGCGGAAATAGTCATGCAGGAATTATTCATTGAACGCTTACCCTGTGCGAATGTTGTTGAATGAATGAATAAAGGGGGCTTCTGGAGTCTGAAAGAGGGAGTTACAGAACTGCTTTCATCTCTCCCCTCAGTCTGGCCTTCAAAGCTTCCCACATACTGTGTTGGGTGCATTGTCCAGGCCTAACTGGTCCGGGGTCCTCTTACACATCCTGTGTTCATCAGCATTGTAATTATTTGTGGAACTACCTGTTTACATGCCTGCATTCACCCCCCCCCCCTTAATGAGATCTTCCTAAAGCCCAAATCTCTTCCCTGCTTAAACCCCTCTCTGGCTCCCCTGTGCCCTCCGGACAAGGCCAGGCCCTTACTATGGCCCACACATCCTTTGTGAACTGATCCATGGTCCCCTCTCCAGCCACACTGATATTTTAGTTCATTGAACAGTGCTGTGAGATCTACCTCCAGGCCTTTGTTTCTGCTGTTTCTTCTGACTATAACATTCTTTGCCTACCTGACTTCTCAAATCAGCTATTTTCTTCTCCAGGAAGTTTTCCTTGACCCATTCCCCCACCCCCAGGCTAGGGCAGATCTCTCCTTTTGGGCCTCCTAGACTCCCTGGAGTTTCCCCATCCCAGCTCTGACCACTCTTGGCTGGCCCTATCTGGTGATGGGTCTGTCTCCCCACTGGACTGTGAACTCCCTAAGGGCAGGATGCAGGGTTGTCTTGGTCACTGCTGAATCCCCAGCATTACCCGCAGGAGGACCACTCAGCAGGTTCTGAGTAGACGCGGAGTAGGCTATCCTTGGGGGTCTGAATTCTATGGCCCCCAACTTGGGGTGGGGAAACAGAGGAGGTGGTTTTGCGGGGCAAACACTAGGTCTAATTCCTTGATGATCCCTAGCACAGGGAGGGCATATAGTAAGCCCTTTTTGGAGTCTGAGGCCTCCCTTCAAGGGGACGCAGTAGGTAGTTTGGAAAGTTAGTTACTGGGTCTGATTCCTGTACAAGTCCCAGTACAGGGCAGGCACACGGTAGGCAGATCCTATGGGGTCTGAGGTTGATTCTTCTGCGTGTCCCATCACACAGTGAGCACACAGTAGTTTCCCTAAGGATCGGGGTCTGTTTCCCTCACGGTGCGTCTAGGGATCACACATGTTGGCTAGGGGGCGATGTGGGGTGTTGGTGGTGCGCACAGGCTGTCTAGTGGATCTAGGCAATATCAGTGGGAAGGATGTCAGCACGCACAACGAGGCTTGACGGATTATTTTTATTGGGTCGCTGCTCCCTGCCCGCCCCCCATGCGGTCAGGATAGGCTAGACCAGGCACACGGCCCCCAAAGCGGTACGTGTACTTGCGCCCCCCGCTCTTGCGCACGATGTCACGCCGGTAGTAGTAGCGCAGGCCTCGGCTCAGCTTCTCGTAATTCATGCCGGGCTTCCTCTTGCGCTCGCCCCACAGCCGCGCCACCTAGGGCGGAAGCCCGGCTTAGTCCGAGAGGGTGGGAGGGGACGGGGCTAGACAATGGGCGGTGGGCGGGGTTCTGGTACAAGCCACACAGGGGTTAGGCCTGGCAGAACCGAAATGAGATGGGAGCGAGGCTGGGGGCGGGGCCTAGGTCTGTGCTAAGCAGAGCGAATGGGCAGGGCTAAGTGAAACAGGAGGAGACCAGGGAGGGATTTGGCCAGCCTGGGAAGCTGCCCCACCTCTTTGGGATCGCACAGTTGGAACTCGCGGCTGTTGCCGGTCCAGCGGATGCAGCTGCTACGCGCTCCGTCGTGGAGCAGCTCAAGGAGAAACTGCCACAGCTGAATGGGACCTGCAGGAGGCAGGTGAACATTCAGGTTTCCTGGCCCCAGACCATGTCGCTTCGATGACCTAGGAGTCCGGATCTCCCTCTCCATATAAGGGACCCAAGAGTTGGCCTCGGGGACCCAGGCATCCGGACCCTCATCTCTTTTTTCTCACAAAATCCAGGAGCTTACGTCCTCATCCCTAGCTCCCTGGAAGACTACGAGTGTCAGTTCTCTCCCTCAAGACTCAGGAGTGAGGGCCACTGCCCCCTCCTCACTGGAGCGCTTGCGTATCTAAACCCAGCCCCTTCACCACCAGTTTGCTGGGTCCCACCCCCTTAGGCGCCTAGGCCCCGCCTCACTAGACTCTGGCTTCACTCTCCAAAATCTCGCGGGCCTCACCTCTGTGGTTACTTTTCGGATAACGAGCCGAGGTCGCGCTGTCCGACTGCTGGCTCGTTTCGGAGGATGCTGTGAGAGCTGAATTCTGGTACCCTTTCGAAAAGGTGGTGCAATCCGTTGGCAGCCCCGAGTCCCAGGAGATGGTATAGTCCGAGCCCGCGGGCCCGCCCCACGAAATGGTAGAGTCGGCGCGCGGAACTCCTCCCAGGCCCTTGCCCCAGTAGGTGGGGCCGTCGGGGCCCAGAGAACAGTTCCAGCTGGTGGAGCTGGCGGCGACCTGGGCTCGCGACCACGAGTTGGCACCCCCCGTGGAGATGGCGCAGTTCTGGCCAGCTGCCCCTTCAGAGCCAGCCAAGGGGGCGGGGCCCAGGGCCTGGGAGACGGGGCTCCAAGGGACCGAGCTGGTGTTCGCCAGGTCTGTCCAGTCTCCCGACCACGGAAGAGCCTGAGGGGCTGGCTCTGTGAGGAGGAACGGACCCCAAGTGAGAGGAGCCCAGATGTCGGGATCCCTGGCCCCCTTGGGGATTCTGGGAGTCTCAGCTCTGGCTCCTGGGGCCCCCAGGCTCCCGTATCTAGGTCATGCCACCTGGAGTTCACAGGCGTCCCCCGTCCTAGCCCCGTGACCCCTCAAAGATCGGGGAGTCTAAACCTCTAGTCACAGTGAGGGACCCCGGTCCCCTCCACACCCCGCCTCTCCGCACACACTCACCCGCCCCCCATGGAGCTTCTGGGTACGGTAATGCGGAGGCCCAGTTCGGCTGTGGGAGCCCTGCGGGGTGTAAGGACGTAGCTGAGTTTAGGGAAGGGTGTGAGCAATGACTAGAGACTCCACTCAGCCTCTCACCCAGTGGTCTTTATTTGTCGGGGGCTGAGAGTTGTTACCCCCAGCCACTACTCACTCAGACCTGGGACTCAGGACCCTGGTCCCCTCCTCCTTCAGCTTCAGGAATTCAAGCCCACACCACTCTCCCCATTCGACCCCAGGAATCCAGGCACACCTCCTTGCTCCCTCAGACAGCGGAGCCCAGCCTCTCACCTTCTTCCCCAGCACTCAGGGGCCCCAGCCCACAGCCACCTTTCCAGTCTGTCTCTGCTGTCAGCGTGTCCCCTTGGAGTGCCAGTTCAGGGAAATAGAAGTCGAGTTCAGCTTCTGCAGGCAATAAGATTAGAGCCCCGTCAGGGTCGGTGGAGGCTGCCACATGGGTACCCTCCCCACACACATTGTCTCAGCCCCAGCAGCCTACCCAGCCCTGACAGCCTGTGCCCCAGGGGCACTTCCTGTGGTGATGCTTCATCCCAGTTCCACAAATCCATGGATGCCTGTTGTGAATATTCTGGGGGGGGGGAGGGAGGGCACAGGGTGAGCTGGTGACACTTAGGACCCTGGAGTCTGGGTCCCATCCCTTGCTTCCCTCAGAAGGAGTCCAGGCTTCTGCTCCCTCCTTCCCCAGGACCCTGGAATCTTGGCTTCCAGTGTCCTTTTCTCTCAGACCAGGAATCCAGGCCCCCAGACACCCAGTCCCCACTTCATGGCTCACCTCTGGCAGGTCCCTCTGCCCCCAGTCAGGGGTCTCAGCCCCATTTCATACCATGCACACCCTCCCCTGGGGGCCTGAGCAGGGGGAAATTTTCCAAGACGTCAGAGCTTGGGGTCACAGCTGGGGTCGAGTTGCAAGACCAAGGCGGGACCAATCTATTCCCCCCGCCCCACCCCCTCCAGGGATGGCCACTGGCCTCCCTGGTAGCTGGGGCTGTCCTGCTGCAGGGGTGGCTTGTACTTGGACAGGAGCTTGGGGAACAGTGGGCTGGGTGAGACCTGGGGGTGCAGAGGGATGTTTCCAGGGTGACTCGGGTGGGGCAGAGGGTTTGGTGGACAGGTTCTCTGTCTTGGGGGCTTGATCCTGCGACATGGGGGATGGTGGGGGAGAAAGGCCTGGGGTCAGCTGGGCTGCGCCAGGCTTATCTGCAACAGGAAGGGGGATTTCCGGCCAGACCCTTGGTTGACTGACGTCACAATCCACAGGGGGCCTGCGGGGGATATGGTGGGGGTATGTCGACCTGGGATCCTTGACCAGGCCCAGTTCTCCCCTTCTGAGGGCTTTGAGGAGGAAGTTCTGGGGCTGCTTCCGAGGGCTGTAACATCAACAATATAAATGATAACAATAGTAATAGTAGCTAACATATATTGGGGGCTCATTGCATGCCATCAACTGTGCCATGGGCCTTTGTTTAATCCTCCTGTGTGGTAGGTACTAGTTTTATCCCTATATTATGAAAGGGGAAATTGAGGAGGGCTTCCTCCCACTTTTCTTCATGTCCAGAATACATGCCCTTCCATGCTATAATAGTTTGGGATACATGGGAAAATTTGAGTATGGCTGAATATGATATAGAATAAGTCATTTTCTTAGATGTGCTAATGGTGTTATGATATGACAGCTATCTCTGTAAGGAAATGAACACTGAGATATTTTGGGGTGAAGTGTTATGATGTCTGTAACTTGTTTCAAATGATTCAGAAAAAAAAAAACAAGCCATGTATACATGGATCATATACATATACATATGCAAC